CTTTGAGGATATTGAGTTTGTGGGGAATAATAAGGTTAGAGAATTTGTTTTAGAGGAAGAATCAGTACCAATTCCAGAACTGATTCATACAGTTTCTTTTGATCAAGCAAGTATGGAACCTCCACAAGACATTGTTGATTTTCATCCTACTCAAGATGATTTGGTAATTCATGAAAAAAAACTCAAAATCCTCAAGAACATGTGTTACAAAAACCAATACCTTTGTGGAGATCCATTAGAGAAAGGAGAAATGTTATTCTAGATGATTACATAGTCTTTCTCCAAGAACATGTGGAAAATAATGGTATGATAGAAGATGATCCAATCAACTTCCATCAAGCCATGCAGGAATCCAACTTAGAAAAGGGGATTGAAGCAATGAAGGAGGAGTATAAGTCCATGCAAGATAATAAAGTTTGAGAATCTGCCCCATTACCAGAAGGTGTGAAACCCATTGGTTGCAAATGGATTTTTAAGACCAAATGGGATTCTAACGGTAATGTAGAAAGGTATAAAGCTCGTCTTATGGTTAAGGGTTATACTCAAAAGGAAGGGATTGACTTTAAAGAGACTTTCTCTCTGGTTTTATCAAAAGATTATTTTAGGACAATCATGGCTCTTGTTGCACATTATGATATGTAAATCCATCAAATGGATGTCAAGACGACATTCCTCAATGGATTCTAGGAAAATATTTTAGCAATCCATGAATAAATCATTGGAAAGCAACAAAAAGGTTATAAGATATTTAACGAGAACAAAAGACTATATGCTCACATATAGGAGGTCAGACCAGTTAGAGATCACTGGATACTCTGACTCAAATTTTGCACTCAGATTTTACTGGGTGCCAACATAGCAAAAGATCCACTTTAGGCTATATATACATGTTGGCTGGTGGTGTAGTTTCTTGGCGCAATGTCAAGCAAACTCTTATGGCTTTATCCACCATGATAGCTGAGTTTATAGCATGTTATGAAGCATCCAACCATGGGATTTGGCTAAGGAGTCTTATCATTGGGCTGCGAATTATGGAAAGAATTGAAAGGCCACTTAAGTTATATTGTGACGATAAATTAACCGTCATGTATTCCAACAATAATAGGAGCTCGACCAAGTCAAAACATATTGACATCAAGTTCCTAGTTGTTAAGGAAATGGTACAAAGTGGGCATATTTCCATGGAAAACTTGGGGACTAACTCCATGATAGCAGATCTTCTTACAAAAGGTCTTCTACTCAAGGTCTTTCATGAGCACATGCTTACATGGGTGTTTTACCGTTCGAGGAGTCTTTGGTTTAGTGGGAGTTTGTTGATTATGAATATTATGTTCTATGTTTGGTATTATGCTTGCATACTATGATTTTGGACATTTTCTAAAATAATAAAGTTTGATATTCAGTAGTTTATACTTTGTACAATAAAGTTATTGAATGATCTTACTAAAGTAAAGTAGGACCAGCTGAAAATCGACATACACGAACCAACTTCATGTGATTTTCACATTACATATTTCATGATGGATCTATGTCATTTAGTTGTGTCACTATTGGTGATTATTGATGGGTTTAGTTATGATTGATATATCGAAAATCACTTTGGTTTGAATAGTGGCATGATTGATGGACAAGATAATTTGGATATGCTTGAACTATTTAATGGCAAATTTTGAGCTCATAAAATTTAACACAGATGTAAAGTTACATATGTGACCAGTGGGAGATTGTTAGAATTTTGGGTCACAAATGTAACATTTAAGGTGTTAGTGTCATTATTTTAATTAGTCAAGATTTAAAGGAGTCTAATTATCATGATATTAAGTTTGTGACTAAAAGCATAAATGTCATGAAAAGTCAGGTTATTGTGTAGATACCACAAGTAAATATTTAATTTGATGAGGGGCCAAATTAGATGATTGAAAGTTAAGAAATAACCCTAAGGTTATTTATAGGGGTTATGGTCCCCATTATAGATAATGCAAAAAATGGCTTATCAAGATTTCTCTCTTCATCCCCATCAGAAGAGAATCAAGGAGCATAAGGAACTCTACAAATCGAAAGATAAAAAAACACCCGCAAACCTTCGGTGATTCTCAATGGCAAATTCATGCACGTTTTCTCTTTAATTATTATAATTGTATTCGGTATGGGTTTAAAGGTTTTATTTAGAGTTTTGTTCTTGATTTCTACATTGATAGAAATTATAAGGTTTTTAAACAGATCTAACAATAATGGTTTATCTTATCGTGTATCTTTTATCATGACAACCAAACACTTTTGAGGTTCATTTGATGTAATAGGATAAAAGAGTTGGATAATGATAGTATATGGAAATGATAATGTCTTATCTTATCTTATCATCTGTTGAATGTGCATCTTAAAAGAAATTAGACATTATAATTATGAGTGCTCCCTTAAGGTGGTGCTAATGTTTTAAAAGACAATGCGGAGTGCATTACTGGTAGAAATATGGTCTTAGATAAAATATTAAGGCAGAACTTGATACATATAACCGACCCTATTTAGTAGATATTACGGGCACAAGTTTCAAATAATGGTGATATTACAGCGTAATACACCAGTACCCGTGTGAACGCACGAGTAACACATCAGTACCGTATAAACACATGAGTAACCATACCAAAAACCGTGCAAACACACGTGTTATTATATTTTTTGTACAATTAAAAATATTTATATATAAGAATAATTATATCATTGATTAATATATTTTTATATACTGAATAAACTATAGAAACTTATTTATTATCTCTTTTAAAAATAATAAATTATTTTGGTTAGGCAATTTTGTAAAAGTAAATTATTATCTCTTTTAAACTGATTTAATATATTTTTTAGTTTAAGATATAATACTTTTTAAAATAGTATATGGAAAATTGAAATATATATTATTGATGTAAAATCATTTTAGTAAAACAATTTTGTTTTTATTTTAAAAATATGTTTTTTCTTTTATAAGTAAGATATTATTATGGTAAAACAATTTTGTTTTTCTTATTTATATTTTTATTATATTTTGAAAACAAAAGCGTGCGTACCACACTATTATATTTTTATTTTATTCAAATTATAACCCCATGATTTGACTTAAATCATTTTGTCTTTTCTTTACCTTTTTGTTACTAACCTCAAGCGCCTATTTAAATATTTTTAGTGTGTCTTTCTAAGGTTGGTCATTCAATAAGCCAGTAGGATTATAATTGGTTAATTTGTTGATTGACTAAAGGACTTTCATCAAGAAAGATATGTCTCACAATGAGATTCTTTTAGAGTGAGATCTAGAGAGATCCATACCCATACTTTCAAAAAGCTTGAGAAAAACTATAAGTGTTTTCTTCATTCACTAACACATTATCTCCTTGGTTCAATCTTATTAAAACATTCCTAAGATGTTGATGTTGCGTGAGTTTTTAGCTGTGTAATGTGATATTCTTTAGATATCCTTCACCGTCTTCAACTTTGTATCAAAAATCATTGGCGTGGTGTTCAACTCTTAACGATTGGGTGTGAGAGGTAGATTCTAGATACATTAGAGAAGTCAATAATTTCTTTTGTGAAGTTTTATTGTGTATATCAGGAAAATGAATCATTTTCTGTTTATGGTATATGGTGGTGATTATCCGGCAACACAAGAGTTTCTATATATTTCATGGAAGACTTTGGTGGAACTGAGTAAAGGTTTCCGTGAAATGAAGTTAGGAGTTGTCAAAATTTTCTTGGTTAGACTGTCGCTCAAATAAGTTAACGGTAGAGTCGAGTAAAGATTGCTACAAATCAGAAGCTTGGAGTAGGATTAATGTGCTTGAAAGATCATTGAAAATCTTTAATGTGTGCGGTTAAGTAATTTCCTTCAACAAAAAAATTTGTCAATTTAGATATGTGTTGGCTAAAGCATTGAGGTTGTAGTGTTCATATTATCGAAAATTTAAAGCATTGAGCTTGTAGTGTTCATATTATCGATAATTTATTGTAGTAAAATATTTGTATAATTATTTTTAAAAATATTAGAAGATATTACAATTTTCAATAGTAAAACCATTTAAAAGTGGACTAATCACTAGCAAAGATGAACAATCAGAACCACTATATACATGTCGTGTACACTTATCTTTCCTTATCTTCTTTAATTGTCGCATTATATTGTATGCTTTTAAATTTGTTTACTTTAGAATGTCATTTAAATTTTGATCATATTTATAGTATTTTATCATAAAAGTTTTAGTCTACAAAAAAATCTTATTTATTTTTTTTCATTATAATTGTAATGAATCTAAGTTTAGATGGATCAATATCCGTGTTTCCATTTTTATTTAAACATGTAAAAAAACACTTGCTTTAACTTTAATTTTAGTATAAGAACATATCTTTTGTGTATATTTTTATAATAAATTCAAATTAGTATATTATAATTATTTTATTTTTATTTAAATATTAAAAATATATATTAATTTAATTGTTTCTTATCTAATAGTTTAATTGTTAAAAAGTTACTTTTTAAAAATAATTAAGTGAGATGTCAGAAATTTAAATTCTTGATAATCATGTATATGAATGATATCTCTTCAAATAAATAGTTAATGTTGGAGTTTTTAGAACAAATAAAAATGACATTTTATTTTATTTTTTAAAATTAATAAACATATGTAAAAAAAAACTTACATTTGAATTTTTAAACATGTGTAAAAAAAAATTAAAAGGTTATTTTTTACTTTTGCTTGTAATTTGTTTCCATAAAATTAAAAGTAAATACATTTTTGGGGTCCAACACATTAGCATTATTGATCACACAACCTAGTACGAGTAAATGGAAACACATATATTAATGCATATGAGAATCACATTTTTGTATAAACTTATATAATAACATATATTGATGCATATGAGAATCACATTTTTATATAAACTTATATAATATATTGTTTAAAATTCAAGTAGTACAATAATAACCAACAAACATAACAAGAACAAAATCACATATCTCATTGTGTAAGATGATCTGTAGCTACACCTGCAATAAAACAAAGAAATCTCATTTCATCATTAAGTTTAGAAATAGAAGGAACGCTTAGCTTTTCACGAGCTAAGTTTTCATCACAATGGTTAGGCCCCCAGAAAGCAGATGTGGCTTCCCAACTTGCACCGTCTGATTTTGTAGCCAACTGAGGTATTGCAACCCTAAATTCACTGATAAAAAAATTGTAATTATGGTTTGCACATTTTTTGATGGCTTCAGAAGATGGGTATTCTTTTACCAAACTTTTGAGATAATTTTGAGCTTTTGTGGCTTCTTCTATTGCCATCTCTAAGTATAATGTGCAAAGGGTAAGATAGTCCTTTGATGAAGTTATTCTAGGGTTGGTTTCTAAAAGTTTCAAACATTTTTGTTCACTTTCCTTTGATCCAGAATCTGCACATACGATTTTATATAATTCAGGGCTGGATCTGGGACTAGGTGATAGTGATATGGCATGGGAAATGAAGATGAATGAAATGATGAGTAACAAGAACAAATGTGTTGAGGCAATCATTTTTTGGTTTGTGATGGATGATGAAAGTTATTATGTGGTTCTTAATTTATAGTAATTGAGGTGTGGTATTTGAACACTCAAATTGTTACGTATGTACACCATATATATATACGGTATACCACTATTTCTATCCTCCATTAACTTTTTAACTATATTTACTTCTCAAATATCTATAAAAAAAGTACATCTATCCATAGAAAAATGCAAAGTATACCTTATGGTGTCCATTCTTCTAATTATACACAAATCATTTATTTTTATAGTAATTAGTGAAAAGAAATAAAAGTATAGTAATTAAAACTCTTTCTATATTATTAAATTATCTCAAAATTTATGTAAAGTCAGTCAAATTTTTTACTTGTGAAATTAGAAAGTTACCGTTTCTTTTTCTTGATATACTGGTGGGGGCTAATCATAGGCGCAAAGCTACTTGATCTTTAGTAATTGCTAAATTAAAGAATATGTTTTTTATTAGATGAGTAGAGCACCTTTCTTTGGGTTGGAAGGTAACTCTTTTGAACTCTATTCTTAACAATATTATCATCTTTATGCTTTCTTTTTTCAAAGCGCCTAAGTGTATTTTGGAGGAGATTGTGTGTATTCAAATAAATTTCTTTTGGAGAAATTGTGGTGGAAAGAGAAAGATGTGTTGGGTAAATTGGGAGGGTGTGTTTATCTAAAGAGGATGGAGGTTTGTGGGTTAAAAGTGTGGTGAATTTTAATCTCTCTTTGATGAGTAAGTGGGGGTGATGGCTTTTGTCAGACAAGGAGGCTTTATGGTCTAAGCTCATTAGTTTTAAAAATGATTATAGTTTGGTCAATTTTCTTAGTGGAAATGCACATTTTAATGTTAATAAATCTTCACTTTAATGGAGGGATGTGGTGGCGGTTTGAGGTTTTTAAAAAAAATGGTGGCGGTTTGCAACCTTCCATTGGAAGATGATGCTTGGTTACAAAATAGAATTTCCTATAAATTAAGGAATGGGGCGGAGATTAATTTTTGGGATCATTGTTGGTTGGGGATGAGGCCTCTAAACGAGCTTTTCCCTCTTGTGAATGAGGTTTGTGTGTGAATGAGGTTTGTGTTTATCATAGGAGTAAGATGGAGGAGATATGGTTTTGGTTGGATGTCATTTGGCATTGGGAGTTGGGGGTGGTTAATTTTAATCTTTCTGAGACAATTAGGGAGGAGTGGATGGGGTTGTCCTCTATTTTGAGGGACATTCATCCTAAATGGTCCGGATTTGGATAAAGTGGTGTGGTGGAGAAATGTGGATGGTTTCTCGGTGAAGAATAATCATAAGTGGATTTATGAGTTAAATGCTCATAATTTTGTGGTGGATGATAGAAGTCCTCTCGATTTGGAAGAGGTTTGGAAAGCTTTGGTTCCGATTAAAGTTAAATTTTTTTGGAAGGAAGTTCTTGTTGAATAGTCTTTCTACCAAACACGAGTTTGGTATTATAGGCGTGTCTTTTTCATTGTTGAATAATTTGTGTCCTTTGTGTGCCTCGTTTGAAGAATCTAGTGGGCATATTCTTTTTTCCTGTGTTGAGTCCGGAGTGGTGTAGAGTGGGGTGTTCTGTTGGTTGGGGATGTCGACGGTTGAGGATTTTGAAGAAAGTGGATTAGTGGCGGTTTTATTTTCGATTGATTATTTATTAAATCTTAAGGATATTTTTTGTCGTTCCATTTGTCCTTCTTTTTACTCTTTTCTTTAGTTGCTTATTTATTAGGGTGTGTATTTAGAAACCAAGTGGTGTTCAATGCCAAAGTTTGATTGTGTAATAACATTTTGTGTTTTATTAATAATCTTGGTTGGGATTGGTTGTTTATTCTTTTTAAAGGTAAGACGGATTTTATTAAAGAGGTTTGATTTTTCAATCTTTTATTATTTGTTGGTTTGTAATGACTTTGATTGAGTAGTTTTTTATTCCTTTTTGTTAGGAGGTTGCGGACTCCTTTATTCTTCTTGTATTTATTCATATTTTATGTGTCTATTAATATATATTCTTATAAAAATATATAGAAATATGTCAGGATTAATGTATTTAAAAATTATTTTTTATGATTAGATTATTAAACAAATAAAAAAAATTGACTATATCCCATATTTTGAGAAATATCAATATTTAAGCTTTTGTTTGATCGGAAGGTTTACTTCTTTTCCTATATATATATATATATATATATATATATATATATATATATATATATATATATATATATATATAATATATATATATATATATATATATATATATATATATATATATATATATATATATATATATATATATATATATATATATATATATATATATATATATATATATATAATATATATATATATATATATATATATATATATATATATATAATTGTATAAACTTATTCCATTATAATCGTTGCAATGGTGTTGCAGCGTAAAATAAATTTATATTCACATCAAACACAAACTATTTGTATAATTATTGTAAATTTCTTTATATATCTTTTATAAATAATTATATCTTTTATAAATAATTTTATGTGATTTGTAATTAGTTTTTGAAATAGTGTGTCATCTTTATGAATAATTTAAACTTAAATATACTTTAATAATAAATAAAATTATAAAGTAATTAAATAAAAATAAGTATGAAACTAATACATGTAAAAGAAATGAAAATATAAAATATAAAATGAGCCACAATTGATTTTAAATAAAAATAAATTAGACTTAAATGGTTATATTTTTTATGGTAAAAAAATGATTATATTTCTATTTATTTTTACAAAATCTTGATAATATTATGTATGTAATTCAATTAATATATAAATGTTATGTACTTAATTTAACTTATATACAAATGTGCATAAGTGTTTGTTATACCCTAATTTTTATCTCTAAGACCCCTCATCATTTTACATCTTTAAAATACATCAATATCACAATCTTGGGTTGTTTCCCATCTTCTCTCTCTCTCTCTCTCTCTCTCTCTCTCTCTCTCTCTCTCTCTCTCTCTCTCTCTCTCTCTCTCTCTCTCTCTCTCTCTCTCTCTCTCTCTCTCTCTCTCTCTCTCTCTCTCTCTCCTCTCTCTCTCTCTCTTTTCTTTAAGTTTGTCTTTGATGGATCACCAAGCACCCTAGTTGTGTATATTGTATATACATGTTTTATGTTCCACTAATCTCTAACCAAAATCTAAAAAGATATTTTGTTTCTCTTTTGTGTTTTGTATATTGTAGGTGTTGAGCCAAGTGCATACATCTCACCTCCTAAGCCAGGGTTTTGGAGAATCGATCCTCAAGCAATTGATCACTCATTGAACCTTAAAAGCTTGAACTTCAAAGTTATGCTTCTATCATCAAAGTTTTATGTCTTGTGCATATCTCAACTTCATGTGGTCAAATTCATCTCAAGGTGTTATGGTTTATTTATCAATAAACTTCATAGGTTCATGTGTTTATTTCCATGTCTTATTCAACAACTTTCATCAAGCTATGCTCATCATCAAGTGTGCTTCAAGATAAAATCATTTTAAGGTCCTACGCGCGTCATCATACCTTAGATTGCAAGTAAAGTTAAAAAGATTTAAAGTTCATTCAAGTTGTTTGACCTAATTTGGCAAGTTCTTGATTCTATGATCACAAGCGCGTAAATCTTTTCAATTTTTAACATTTTGAAGTGATTATTTTTATTATGAACTCTTCTCACCATCCTTAACAAATTCTCTTTACATGACAAGAGCCAATTATACTTGGAGGATCATCAAAAGTTTGATTACATTATAGGTAATTTATGGAGAAATTGTGAAATTTTTATAAGTTTCAAACTGATTTTTTCTAATTTTTAAGGATCATAGCTTGATCAATTTTAATCATTTGTAGTTCTTTATTTCTCTACCATAATCTTGAGGAGGTTTCCTACAAGATTGATTCAATGAGCAAGGCCTAAAAATGCTTGAAAGGTCATTGAATTGAAGGGAACATTATAGGTCATTTTTAGTTCTTCATGACTTGAAATTTAACTAAGTTAAATGTGCTTATTTTCAGCCAATTTTGCAATGCCATAACCTTTTGATACAAGTTTCCAAATGAATAATTTCACGGCACATTGAAGTCTTGGTGGGAAAATCTTCAAATTGAAAAAGGAATGAACTCACAAAGCCCCCTGAGTATGATGCGCTATTGATTTAAACTTGGTTACTTGAAGCTGAAGTTTGCACCATGATCAGATTTTCAAAACACTTAAATTCCAATTATAAGCCAAATTAATTTTCATGTGTCTGTCTAAAGATGTTTATCAACCTTACAAATGGTGTTTTATGCCCAAAATGCAAGAAAAAGAGTGTGTTTTGACAACTTTGCAAGTCACACTTTTGCCATGATCAGGGTGTGCACGAATTCCCTCCAAATTACATTATCCACCCTCCCTCAGCATTGCTTTTACTTATCCTATAAATATGGACCTAATTACCTTAATTCTTTAAGTTTTTGATAGCCAATTAAACCTTGTTCAGATCCCATTGGAACTCTAAATTTGTAAGTTTCATTTTCAATCCACACCCTTTGTCATACCCTAATTTTTAAACCCTAAGATCCTTCATTATTTTGCATCTTTTACAATACATCAAGATCACAACCTTGGGATGCCTTTCACCTCTGCTCTCTCTCTTATTTAAGTTTTTCCTTGAGAGATCACCAAGCACCCTAATTGTGTATCTTGTGCATACATATTTTATGTTTACTAGCCTCTAACTAAAATTCAAAAATATGTTTTGTTTCTCTTTTGTGTTTTGTACGTTATAGGTGTTGAGCCAAACACATTTTATCTCACCTCCTAAGCTAGGGTTTTGAGGATTAATCCTCAATCAAATGATAATTCATTTAACCTCAAAGGCTTGAAACTCAAAGTTATACCTCTACCATCAAAGTGCCATTTCTTGAATAACTCTCAACTTCATGTGATCAAGTTTAACTCAAAGTATTATGGTTTGATTCATAAAGAAACTTCCTAGAT